ACTCTTAGAAACCTCATTGGGAATAGGGAGAACACCAGAGCTAGCAGGAGGGAAAGAAGAGGGATCCCCATCCCTGTCCACTTCCTTGATTTTCCACAAGGTCTTGCAACCCTGAACCAATAGGAGAAGGAATGATGGGACTCCCTTTGCACTCCTCAGACCCCTGTGTTGGGTAATGGTAAAGAGCGGAGAGGACAAGAGCATCCCCCTTCCCCCCCCCCCGCACAGGACTCTGACAGACAAGTGTTGACCAGCTATAATGAGGTTCCTTCCCCAGTTGTCTGCGATTGTGAGCAACCTTCACATGGGTCAGCAACAGAGGTAGGTCCTTCCAAAGGCTAGGGAAAGAAGAGTCATAGCAGCTGCAGACAGCAATGCAGACAGTCTCACCCCCATTACCCTAGCCCAAAGAAGAGGATTAGCAGCACAGCAGGCAGTCATCCCTCCAACTCCTCCGCTAAGCCTGGAGGAGCAGCACTGGGGCCGAAGGCAGAACGGGCAGACACTGCTTCCTGGAGACATGTCGGTATAGAACAGGGCTCAGTGATTCTGAGTCTGTTCAGTGTTGCTCCTGACCTGGTCCACAAATGCCCCTGGCTTCTTGTTAGTTGCACACAGGATCAGAAGAGAAATAAACCCAACTAAACAAGGGGGGGGGGGGAATGCCAAACAGGAAAAAAAAAAAAAGGCCTGAAAGTGGACTGATAGGCTAGTACAGTTCCCATAAAATGCTTTTATTTCATTTTGAGGGAACTACCCAAATGTAAGCTATATGCAGTGTAATTTTCCCTCTGCTGATATTCACCCCTTCTTGTTAACTGTTGGTAATGGGTCACATCCTCCCTAATTGAATTGGCTTCATTAGCACTGACCCCCACTTTTTAAGGTAACTCCCATCTTTTCATGTGCCGTATATTTATACCTACTTACTGTATTTTCCACTCCAGGCATCTGATGAAGTGGGTTATATCCCACGAAAGCTTATGCCCAAATAAATTTGTTAGTCTCTAAGGTGCCACAAGGACTCCTTGTTGTTTCTACCTTGAATGGTTCCTTAGAATATGTGCTAACTACTTATGCTAAACAATCTTTTTCACCTTGAATTTAGATGTGATGCTCAGAGTACCTTTCCCAGACCTGGAGAAGAGCTCTGTAGAGCTCGAAACCTTGTCTCTCTCACCAACAGAAGTTGGTCCAATGAAAGATATTACCTCATCCACCTAAACTGATTGTGTATTTAGTAACGTTAACTGCAGGACTAAGTGCAGCCAAATTCCTTCATTCAGAATAAGACTGTATATTTTATTGTTCATGATATAGAAAGACTTTAAATAAAATATGTGTCAACAGTACTTGCATTGGTTTGTATGTATATAATGACACACACTTTTAAAGTCTGTGCACATTAACTACTTGAAACTCAAAAATCTCAGTCTTAACTGTATAGGGAAAGGGACTAAATGGAAGGGGAACAACATTTATAGATTCACACATACAGGGATTTTTTTCTTCAGATTAGACAGTCAAAGTTCACTAAAAACAAGACATACACCTCTAAGAGCATCTAGCTAACATTCATTCATTCATTAACGTTACTAAGGGGCCATTCAGATCAGATTAAAACGGACTTAAACCTTCAGCCAAAACTTGAACCCACCTATTCAGATGACCAAAATGTTACGTTAACTTTTTAAATTCCCCTCCCCTATCCCCCATGTGTTGCAGGGCCTTGCTCCAGCCAGACCTGAGAAGAGGAAGCAATTAAGTAGCAAAGAGTTGGTCTCACTGTGGGGACAATCCATGAAGTACGAAGCATGCTTAGTATTCATTGAAGTCACTGGGAAATGTGGGCACGCACCACTTGGCAGGATCAGACCTTATATCTATAGCCAGACTGCAATCAGGAAGTAGAGGGTACCTAAGATGAAAGTCTCTTCTCATAAAAGCTTGAATATATGAACTGATCATTTTTAGGATCACCCACTACTGCTAAAAATCTATCCACTTTCTACATTCATTAGTCATAGCATATTTCCCTTTCATTGTATCACAATTCCACTTTGGAGTAAAAGTAAATATTTTATTTAAAAGAAAAAGTAGTAAAGGAAAATTAAGCTAAAGAAACATGCAATGTTTTAGAATGTTCTTAGTTAAATAAACTAAATATTTCAAATTGTACAGGTTAGAAACTGCATTTCCCCCATAAAAAAAACAAAACATAAGCTATACTGCCCAATTCTGTTTTACCCCTTTTGATCATAAAGGGAAATGTTTAAAACACATGTACCAAAAATATTATTTTGTTTAATACAATTATCCAACCACTCATTACTCTTGAATGTCATCTCAGACCCTCCAGGATACAATCATGGCTAGTATACATATGGTTGAATTTAGTTTCAGGAATTTCAGTTTCCCTTAGAGAAGCAAATTCTCAATTAAAGAACATAATGATTCTATTTCTAGTTTGATACTGACATTTTAGATATATGTCCGATAGACTTCTGATATAAAAAATATATTTTTCCTGTTTTTAAACCTTTTAAATTCAGATCTAAACATACTAATTTTTCTCTTTATTACCCATTATTGTTGTTTGCCACTGGAAGAAATACTTTAGTGCATAATAATAGTAGATGATACGGTAATGCTATCAACCCCTCCAAGATGTGGTTAACTTAATTTATCCCTTTTTGGCTGGCTGCCCTGGTTCCCTGAAATTCTGTCTGGTAATGCCCGTTAACTATAGGGACACCTTCCAGAAAGGGTAGCGGATCAGCTGTCAGTTCCTCTGTCATAGAACTTAGCTGGCCTATGGCTGATTTGTGGATTATTTTTTAAGGAATTATGGAAACATGATGGATTTTTTTCTTATGTTGAGAGCAATCAGGACACATTTGATATCCAATACCATCATAGGAAAATATTAATGAGCAATGACGCAACAATATGGTATAAACCAGTGTGCAAAAGGCAAAGAAACTAAACATGTGATAAGCATCTTCTTTAAAGGGCCTCTGCAGATTCCCACTCTTGGGATGTGTCTGACCTCTACAGAAATCATCTGCAATAATTCTAGTTATAGGTGAATAATCTTTATTTTTGCATCACTTTTCTACCCATCACGGTCATTCCTTAGTGTCTAGCCAAGATTAACAACAATAACTGCTACAAAAGTTCATCCTAATCCTAAAGCACAATTTTACAACCCTTAATCTGCATGTTGATGCATGCTAATAACAGATGCTTATTAACAAAGCAACCTCGTGCCACAACATCTAAGAGCCTACTGCCACATTTTGTTTTAAGTATTAAAGACATGTGCGAGGAACACAATAATTTTGAAAAGCTAATCTCAAAGCACTATTAAGATCCTTATTCAAGTGCTTTTATAGTACAGCCTGTTTGAAAGTAAATCCTACATTAGTCCTCAGTGGAGTATATTCCCTTCTCTCATAAACTTTATAAAAGAGAAGAGCAGTGCAGCGGTCCTTTTGCCAATTGTTATCTGATTGGTAAAGAACAAGCAATATAAATACACACACAAATTCACTTCAGCTCCACCAGAAGTACAGTACTCTGGCATTTTATACAGAAAAGCAATACCAGATTCTAAAATCTATTGTTCACTAAGCATAGATTTTGTCTTTTAAAATAGATGGTGCTTTAAAACAGCAGAAATGTCTAGTGCTTGAGCTATTTTCCAGTTAATTATTTGCTGGCTAAAGTCTTAAAATGTCCTTGGATTCACCTTAGACACAACTATCCCAGCTGGTCATTAACTGTCTGGAAACAACCCAAATAATCTCAACTGTCAGTACGCTACAAACATGTATGTTTTGCGCATGCTTGTTTTTTCATGTATTTTAATGTCATGGTGCTATATTTAGAAAACAGAGCCTTAATAATTTTTTTTTCCATTTCCATGTTTTAAGAGCTGCTATATCAATGTAATTCGGAGTCCACAATGAGCTTAGTAACAGCCTTAATGAGAACTGAATGAATTCTCACTAAAACAGTGTCCGATTCTGATCTCACACCACTTTTACTCTGTTGTAACTCTATTTATCTCAACGGAGTTGCTCCTTTGTGTTTTCATAGTTGTAAGGGAGATCAGAATCCACTTTAAAGTCAGAAGGGGGCCAGAGTTCATGAATGCTGATGTTTAAATAGTCCTAAGAAAAGCCAAAAGAAAAATGCTGCTGTACCAAGTGAACTGAACAGCTTGTAGTAAACCAGCCTGTCAACAGGCAGACACAAGTGGCTTTTCTTGTTGGTATATCATTTCTGCAAAAAGCCACAGGACAGCTGGGAAAAACAACACATGTAAACAAGGTAGGCCTAATTATTTCCCAGTTAAAAAGAAGATATTATCTTCTCATTAATTGGTAAGCTAATTGACCAAAACCTTGCAGTATCATAAAATGAGTCCAATACACAGAACCTAGGTACCTACACTACCCACTCAGACCAAAGTTGTCAGTTCTGCTTGATTTGTTTGAATACTGTACTCCACGACAGCTGTCGGAAATAATACATTAGAACAGCTGCTGTGACAGCTACAAAGTGCCTGGAATTTTAATTGGACTCAACAGTCTATTGTTTATTTTACTAAACTTAAAAGGAAATATCCAAGGAAGTAAACAAGTTCCTAATGGAACTAACTGATGTTTGCCATTTGGTAAGCAAGGTTAGGCTTCATTTTGCCTATATAATTTCACTAATATTATCTCTACCAACTAACTGGCAAAAAGAAAAGAAAAGAAAAAGAACAGTAGAAACTGTTAGATGACTAAGAAAAGGAGCATTAGGAGGAAAAATGGTAAGGAAGTCACATAAACAAACCTGTTCAAATACTGGCTGTGAGCCACAGAGGATCTCAGAGAGTTTTAAGATTTACTGAAATGGAGACTTATTCAGAGGCCTTCAGCAACTGTTAGCTGAAAACAAAACTGTTCATTATGGCTAAAACCTCAACACCATTGAATAGTAAAGCTTACTTTCAGCATCAGCAGAAAGCAGAAAGCACAGGAGCACCACCACTGGCCTGGCTACGTGCATCATCCGACAGCTTGGCACCAGCATGCTTTGGCAGCCTCGGTCTCACTGGCTCAGAAGCCACTATGAGTCTGTCCGGTCTGAAATTTCTGATGAAGTATTTTCAGAGCCTGTGGAGTGGTGGAGAGAAAAAAAAGAGAGAGAGAGCAAAATATGGTTAGGGGGGTTGGTTTTGTTTTTCCCAATATTTACAGTTAGGGGCAAAACAGTTTAAAAATACAAAGAATCTTCAGGAGACTGTAGTACACTGAAGGTAGCGAGGTGCTGCAGATGTTACTAGCACTGAAGCCAGAATGCTGGAGCCATAGAGCATCCTGTCCCCAGCACACCTTTTCTTCTCCCATGTTCAGATCAACCAATCCCACGTGTTGGGTCTTGTCTTGCCGGCTCAGCACTGCATTTTGAGTAATATATCATGAGAATGAATTGTCGTTTCTAATGAACTATTAGTTAAATACATCACCAGAATGAGCCATACTGATACTGTAAGGAAGGGTTTAGGAAAGGATTCAATGTCCAGGATAAAAGTCCACTAACAAATGACATATTGGGAGCTGCTTTCCTGGCATCAGGTAGGAATGACAGGGCTAAATCTGCTTCTCAGACTATTCCTAATGCCAGCTTTGCAATGCTAGCATATTGGATCCCCCATATTAACACATCAAAACTCATATTCAGTTTTGGTCCCACATGTCTAAAAGGTTACATTTCCTCTCTGATTTTCCTGTATATTTAAATTATGCAATACAGAAATCATGAATAAAGAGCCCATATTCAGTTCAGTCAGTTTAATTTAACATGTTATATAAGAACTAATGAACAATACAGTTTAAGCATTTGCCTTTAAGAAGAAATCCATTTTACTCTTTGTTAAATCCATTCCACCCAAGAAGTATTAGAAATTGCAGAACGTAGAAATGCTTCCCTCTGAGAGGAAATATTAGAGATATCCCAAAATAGCCTGACTGTGTCACTAAAATAACACTGAAATTTAATTTTACTTTTCAAAAGAGTTGTAAGTTATATACTTTGGTAGGTCTGAAACTTAGCTCAAACACAATAAGAAAAACAGATACTCTCTTTTTCATTACCCTGCCTGAGTAGCTTCCATGCAGTGAAGATAAAAACCAAAAGGGAGGGAAGGAATTATACTAATTATTCCACTTGATGGATCTTACAGACTTGTGGGTGGTATGAAGAGCCTATTTTATACTACAGTGCAATGCTGAAAGAATCTACTCAAGGAAGAAAAAAAAAGATGACCAGATGTTAGAAATCTACTGCTGCTATCAATCTCTTTTGTAAAACTACCTCTCGAATCAGCTACCGCTATCAAGAGATATGAATCTAAGAAATCTTCATAGGCAAAGTGCTGAAGGCACCAGCTCCCCCCTTTCATCGCTACCATCTTCGTGCCAGCATTTCAAATGACAGCAAAGTCCATGAGACATCAGTCCTGTCGGACTCAATTTGTGTCTGTGCAAGCGTATCACGGCCAACTGCTACATAATGGCTTCAGTGCTATCACAAAGATGGAGATGTATGAACTGCACTTTCAGAGAAGAGGTGATTTTTTTTTTTTGCTTTTACTAGACTGAAGGGGTGACACAATCTTTGTACCATGCAAATCTTCAAGTTGATATCTGCAAACAAGCACAGTGGAAATATAATGGCCACTGAGGTTCATGTCTGAGCCATAAAATATGCCTTGGGGGTAGGGAGTGAGGGTTTGTTGGTAATTAAAAAAAAAGTGAGGGCTCAGGGAAAGAGAAAGACAACGACCCGCACCAGACTATTTTGCTAAGTTATTTTCCAATGTGACACTGAAAAGTATTCCCCCGACTTCCCAGTTGAAAAGTGAAATAAGGCTTTTAAATGCATTTTTTTCAGAATCTACAGGAAGTCTGTAAGAGAAAGGGAAACACACAAAATATGGCATGCAAATGGCTCAGAAGAGAAGATAAGGTGTTTTGCAGTTATTAAAGACACACCATCCCATTCATTCTAAACACATATACCAGTAGTGCCAAACGTTCTGTCTCTGCCCCAGGTGACATTCATTATCGCTCCCAACACACAAGCTGAAGCCCTTGCTGCTCCTCCTCTCTGCACCTTCAGTGTGTCACGGCCTTAACTAACCCGATAAACATACTAATATGTTCTGCAGGTGAACCTTGAACTTCTATTTTTTCTCTTAAGTTGCTTATGCTTCTACAGCAGGGTTTTAGCATTTTAGGCTGTGAAAATACAAGTGTTTGGAGAAGGCAGGCAGAGTGGACTTTGTTGTTGCTGGTTTTGTTTTTGTAGGTGGTTTCTTTAAAAAATATTGTAAATGAAGTCATGTGGATGACGGGTGGATAACTCTGGAGAGAAACAAGCTATGAGATAGGCAAGTTGCTGTCAAGCTTCTCCACAGTGCTCTGCCTCAGCTCTGACCTACAACAACCCTTAGCCTCAGCCCTGGACCTCCTCATCGACAATTGTACCAAACTGTACTGAATAAAGTGGCAAGGACTTTTTTGGATGGTTGTTTCTGTTTGCTTGTTTGTGAAAACTAACATGGAAAAGCTTTGTAAGGACTAAACTGATATTACAAAACTCATGCCAGCTATGAATGAAGCCACCTCCAAACATCCATTAGTAAAAGACTAAGACAACATGCTATTAATTGTCGGAGAATAACAGAGTTCTCACTTTTTGTTTGGGTACATCTCTGCTTCCACGAACTCTTACAACAAAAAAACTATAACTCTCCCAGCACCACCATGTTTCCCTGGGAACTGAACACTGAGGCAAGAGCCAACTTGCTTTGTGAGAAAGCAACATCTGGAACATGGTATAATAGATAACAAATACAGAAACAACTGTCAGGTGAGAGAAGAAAGGCGATGAAACCTGCTCTTCAGCTACAGCAATGTGTTCCCCCCCACCTCCGCTGCAGTAGGGCTTATATGTAACCAAGTAGTAGGTGTTGTTCTAGCCAACCTTTGGCCCCTTGCAAAACAATTTTATTACAATTCCCAGCTGCAAGGTACTAGATTCACTGTGTGACCGTTTCCTCTCAACCTGTCCCAAACTTCTATGCTGGGTCTTGGGGCTTGTCTACACAGGAAAATTGACCAGGATAAGCTATTCCAGGATAGCTATTCCAGACTAGCTCCCCCTGTGGATACTGTACTACAGAATAAAAAAAGGAATTTTATGCCAGAATAATTACTCCACTTTGGAAGCACACTAATTATTCCAGAATAAAGTGACTTGTATTCCAGAACCAAGTGCTCACATGGAAAGTTATTCCACAATAACTATTCCAGTCCATTTTCCTTAGTATGTGAGATGAACTGAGAAAAGTAGAGAGTGGAAACAAGTAGTGTGTCCAGAATGAGTGGGTATGTTTGCGGAGTGAGCTAAGAGAACAGAAGATGGAAGTTCCTTGACACGCGATATCAATCGGCCAGAGTTGTGATGAAGGGGGAGGTATCCTGAATCCCCACAGGGTACTACCATAACAGAATTCTCCTCAGTCAGCATGAAGCAGGTGATACTCCTAATCACATGGCACAGGAGCATGGAGCAATAAGCATTACAAGAGCATTTTGGTTATCAGGTGATGCTCAATTTTCTTAAGTATTGTAATACAGCTCTTAGAACAGATTCAACCAATTGAATTTCAACTTCTTCATCATAGTCTATTTGTGAGCACCAACAGTGTGCTACATGCTTTCCAGTGATTCAAGAAGAGATAGTCCCTGCCCTGAGGTGATCACAGCATGGAGAAAAACAAAAGTGTAGCTAGATGTTATGGGAAAAGGAGCAACAAAGACAGATTTTTTTTTAATACCACTGTATTAACTATTCACTGTATTCAGCACAGCAAAAAAGGGTTTTTAAAAAGGGACTTAAATGTAGGTAGAGCAGGAGACTTGCAGATGAGCTATGGGAGGTCATATCATGCCTAGAGGGCTACATGCAAAAAGACTTGGAGGTGATGGTGCAGAGGATTTTGTTTTTCTCATTCTAGTGTGGCCTAATTGGAATATACAATATCAATTCTCAAGTTTTATAATATCAGTGAAAAACATATCTTCAGCACTGACTACAAAGTGAAGGTCCTATTCTTCAACTGAAGTCAATGACAATTCCCAAAGACTTCAATAGAAACAAGATAACAGAAGCCTAACAGAGGTATTGTTCAATCACATGCTGCAAAGGCAGTATTCCATGGAATACTCCCAACTCTATTCATCTACAAACCAAATACACAACTGCTGAAACTGAAGGTTTGGTTGTCCACATTCCCATGTGACTTCTGAAAGAGAGTTTGAGATGCTGAACTCTCACACCAAAAGGCCCTCTTCCAGAATGACTTTTGGGAACAAATACAGCATATGTACTGCACTTGAAAACTCCTTTTAGAAAAATCAAACATCTGAGGCAAGGGGGGAAATCCCAGTAAAGTTTCAGAAGAGGAAATACTCCTCTGAAATCAGGAGGACATAAATATTAAGTCTCCAGTAGTAACATGAATACTCTGGAAGCAGACACTGCCCCAGTGCAAACAGTTTCCAGATGAGAATTTCTGATAGCCCCTTCTCCTCCCAGCCACAGGAATATAGGGAAGCCAGATATGTCAATTCCCATAAAAAAGCTGAGCCAATTTTTTCTGCTGTTGTTAACTGATCCCGGTCTACTCTAGTCTGTGGAGCTGCACCAATCAGGGGTGCTGGAACAGTTTTTATAGTGGGGGTGCTGAGAGCCATTGAACCAAACTGTAAATCCTGTATATGATGGAAACCACTTCAAACCCGGGGGTGCGGCAGCATCCCCAGCACCCCTAGATCCAGCACATATGGAACCAATTTACAATAGCAGAAAATGTAGCCCTATATGCCTAGCATAGGACCAAGTTAGTAATCAGACCCCGGCTTCCTCAAAGTGCAGATGCATTCAAATCTGGGGGGCTGGATTGGCCTAAACGGGATCTAGAGCTGACCTTTTCTAAACTTCAGGAGTGTTCTGATCTGGGGTTTGGTTTGATGGGAAAACAATTTGCATAATATTTGCTAAAAAAACAACAACAACAAAACAGCTGACCGTGTCCCGCATATGA